AGAAAGTGTTAGAGTTAGAGGGTCAAATAAAGGTGGAACAGATGTACTACTTGCTCTACTTGTAAAATGTCCCATAATTATGTGAATAGAGTAAAAAGTTAAACTAATATATATTTCCATAATCACATGGTTGATTAATCACCATACATTAAAACTATTGTTTTGTATTACAAGTATTTTACGAGTTAAGGCATTTTCCAACTATAAATTCACTCATTTGCATACTTTTTTTCAGAATTGTTGCTTCATTTTAGAAAATGGCCAATTTTCTCCATATTTTAGGAATAAAATGTGAATGCTATAAAAACAAACCCCTTGGTAAAAAGTTTCAGAATATAGTTAGGAGTAAAACTTTAAAATTTGTTTCATGTAAATTGTGCTGAAGTGGAGATAGAAGCTTATATTTACAAAACAGTATGTATTGTAATTGAAATCTACAGATGAGAATGGATAAAGTGACATAAAACAAAACAAACACTTAAATATATATTTTGGATGTTTTCTTTCCACTAGTATGAAAGACAAATTATGGAACTAAATAGCCCAAAATATACATATGTCTCTGTATATTTATCTTCCCCAGTCGATTAATCACCATAATAAAACAAATGTTTTGTATTACAACTATTTTACAAGTTAAGGCATTTTCTAATGAAAAATGCCCTCATTTGCATACATTTCAAGATATTGGAAACGGCCAGGTTGAAAATTATTGCTTCATTTTGTTGAGATATTAGAGTTAAATGTTTTTACAGAAGGGTTTTTGGTTGTCTGTTTTTATCTTTCCATAATTTACAAAACAGTACATTTTCACCATATTTTAGAAATACAATGTTATATACCAGATTGTGTGAATGTTATACAAACAAACCCCTCAGTAAAATCCTTTAGAATATAATTACGTGTAAAACTGTAAAATCTGTTTCATGTAAGTTCTGCTGAAGTGGAGATAGAAATTCGTTTTTACAAAGCAATATGTATTTGAAATCTACAGACACAAATGGATAAAGTGTCATAACACAAAACTCTTAAATGTATATTTTGGATGTTTTCTTTCCACTAGTATGAAAGACAAATTATGGAACCAAATAGCCCAAAATATCTGTATATTCATCTTCCCCAGTTAATTAATCCCCAATAAAACAACTGTTATATATTACAACTATTTTAGAAGTGAAGGCAATTTAAAATAAAAATGCACTTTGCATAAATTTCAAGATATTGGGAAAGGCCAGGTTGAAAATTCTTGCTTCATTTTGTTGAGATATTAGAGTTAAATGTTTTTACAGAAGGGATTTTGGATATCTGTTTTTATCTTTCCATAATTCAGAAAACAGTATATTTTCACCAAATTTTAGAAATAAAATGTTATATAAAGTCACGTGGATGTTATATAAACAAACCCCTCGGTAAAAACCTTCAGAATATAGTTAGGAGTAAAACTGTAAAAATTTTTGCCTGTACGTTCTGCCGAAGTGGAGATAGATCTCATTTTGAAAAAGCAATATGTAATATAAATGGAATCAACAGACGCAAATAGAAAGTGTCATAAAATAAAAACACCTAAATGTGTATTTTCGATGTTCTCTTTCCACTAGTCTGAAAGAAGACATGTCATGAAAGCAAAATAGCTCAAAAAAGTCAAAATAGCTCAAATGTAGCCCAAAACATTAGCATAACGCGTCCACGCCCGGTTGGGGGGCGGGTGTAGTGATGTCAGCGCGCAGTGCTGTGGATTCTGGGAGCACAAACACACACATCAGCCATTTTCGGTTTGCTCTGGTCATCCTCCCTCACTCCAGCACAAAGATCCGCCAACTATCTATCACGCTGAAAGGGACGAGAAGAATGGACGAAGAGAAAGCGGGTGATCGCGCACACGGGCGTTTGTTTTGCTGAGCGCGTCAAAGACAAAAGCGCAGCACTGACGCGCATCTTTACAGCCGACGCGTCGCCGGGGATTCATCTGATTCACGTCTGATATCGTTTTATTGGAGCAATTCTGGACGCGTCTGAATCCATAACATCGCATTGTTTGCACGCTTGAGTTCAAGAGAAGCCCGATACAAGCGGATTATAAAAGGTACTTTTCTTGCACGCAATGCAAAAATGATCTGCGCTTTGGTTTTTCACATGCATTGATCATACAATAGGATGCTAACTTACTAACTTACTGGCTGATTTAATGGAACAAAGTTGAGCCTGATCTGCTAAAAACAAGCTCATATTTAATATCCGAATAGCGCAGAAGACAGTGTTTATATGTTTTATTTAAATAATTATGCCATTATAATTTGTTTTGACAATGTCTGAAAGAGCAAACCAGATGATGTATGACTGATTTATGATGCATCTGGTGATTTTTGTCTTCTTCATTAAGTCAGTGATGGTGCATTGAATATATCTCAGGTTATGAATCAAATATGCATGATTCGTTCTCAAATATTATTTTATGAGAACACAAAGTGGAGCATGAGAGGAGTTTGCGTGATGGAAATAAGTGTTTGCTGATGTTTTGAGTCGGTTTGCAGAAGCTTTAGGGGGTGTGTTTGTTTCATATTGAGAACAGGGCCTGTTTTTCGCTCAGACGTGAGGATGATGTTGTGATCGTCTGGAGGAGTTCACGCATGT